CTTTCCCCATTCATAAGCCGCTTTTTTTTTCTATAACAATACGCCCAAACACACAGTCGTCTATGCTAAGCCATACTAAAACAAACAAATAAAAAAAAAGCTCACCAATGAATCTGACCTCCCCTCTAACCTGACCTGACCTCCACTAACCAAAACACTGCACCTGACACCTCACCCTCCACAACAATAAACCTGACCTTTCACCCACCATAAACCGTACCCTTTACACCATGCCTATCTCTGTCTGCATGTCTGTGTGTGGTGGTATCATCAATTACACGAGAGCTAACTCCGTTTATCGAAAACTTTAAACCTAACATCGACACTGTATACTCTAAAACTAACCCATTTCATTGTACACGATATCTCTAACCCACTTCCACCAGAAAGACTAAACTAAATTAGTGCTATTAACCTAATCTAAACTTATCCGGTCACAGATAGTTTACCCGAACTCACTCCAGATCATAGACACTAATCCTAACCAGTCTAATAAGAATAACTGACCCCTTATGTAAAGAAAATCAACTAAACATGACCCCTCTCGTCATAAATTCTAAACATAACCCCTCTCGTCATAGACAATAAACATGAACCCTTTCGTCATAAACTTAACATGACCCCTCTCCTTATAAACATTTAACAAGACCCCTTTCGTCATAAACTTAACATGACCCCTCTCCTTATAAACATTTAACAAGACCCCTCTCGGCATAAACACTAAACATAACCCCTCTCGTCATAGACAATAAACATGAACTATGATGAACCCTTTCGTCATAAACTTAACAAAACCCCACTCCTTATAATTTAACCAGATCCCTCTCGTCATAAACGAAACATGACCCCCTCCTCATAAACACTAAACATGACCCCTCCCTCAAGAAACACCAAACAATAAACCAGGGGCGTAGCGAGGGGGGGCGGGGGGTGCGGATCGCACCGGGTGACACCATTTAGGGGGTGACACCAAGGCAAAAAATAGCAAAATATATAGAGAAAAACTCGAGGGGGGGGGGGGTGCAAATCGAAAGTTTGAGGGCGGGGGGTGCAAAACGAAAACTTGAGAGGGGGTGCAAATCGAAAGTTTGAGGGGGGGGGGGGGTGCAAATCGAAAACTTGAGGGGGGGGGGGTGCAAATCGAAAACTTGAGGGGGGTGCAAATCGAAAGTTTGAGGGGGGGTTGCAAATCGAAAATTTGAAAGTTTGTCCCTGGGAAGGGTCTCTATGCCTCTGGGGGGGGGAGGGTGACACCATTAAGTGCCGCACCGGGTGACACCCGACCTCGCTACGCCACTGCAATAAACACGTCTTCTTCCCCGCCCCAAAACACCCACACCTGACCTTTCCCCCACCCTGCAACCCCCGACCCCTTAGACGAAACACAAACTTCTCCCCCTCCCCCCCCCCCCCACACACACACCAAATCCAAATCTGCCCACCCCCTTCCTCTCCGTCCCCACCCACCACTGAACCTAAATCTCTCCCTCACTCCGTGCACACACTAGAAGCACGAGCATCGATTAGTCGCATTGATTTTTGTGTCCAGCTAGGCTAAACTCAAGCTTGATACATGCCAGGGGCGGAACTACAGTGCCGCCAGACCCCGCAATGCGGGGGGGCCCAGACCAATTGGGGGCCCAAAAATCCTGGCTAAATTATTTAAAAAAAAATAAAAAAAATAAAAAAATTAGGTGGAGGTCGAGTTATCTTTCTTCTACAGTTACAAACAAACACGATAGTCGGCAAACGTCTTTGAGAAAAATGCACTGACTATAGCTCGAGAGACCGCCAGACATATAGACAACTTCAAAGACGAAGCATCTGAAATTTGACTGTGCCGGTAAGCTTTGAATCGGGCTGGGGAAATGTTGCGGCGAGGCGACTATCCTGGTCTTCTAGACGATCGGAAAAAGTCGGCACTATTGATGTAGATGTTTATCGGCGCTTTCTTGTCCCCTTCCCTTCCCAACTCTCTCCCCTCCCCTCCCCCCTACCTCTCACTTCTACCCCTCACCACACCCTTACTCTTACAATAAGATGTAATGCATAGATTAACGAACCGTCTACGAACTGTAAACTGACCACTTCTGCACATTTTGTTAAAGACACTGGTCAGTAGTTGTTCATTTACCTGATGAACAGGGGCGGAACTACAGTCACGCCAGACCCCGCAATGCGCGGGGGGGGGGGAGGGAAGGCCGTTTAGGGGCCCACGGCTGACCAAATTTTTTTTTTTTAAATTTTGAATTTAATTTTTGCCTTAATATTTGGTTTGTAAAAGAAAAACACTGTAGCTGCGGTACGATTATCTTTATTTTACAGTCACTATACCACGCTCTTCCGCAAAAGATAAAATCCATTACACAAACTACAGTGTAAAATATAGGCAACTCTTCAAATTTTGAATGACTTCTTTGACTCGTTGCCCCCCCCCCTCCCTTTGATAGCTAAATAGAGGACACGTAACTGTTTGACCGATCCTCCAAAGTATACTGTGGCGGATGGGGCAGGGGATGGGGACCAAAAAGGGGGTTAAAAAATTGTCGACAAATTCTTTACATATTTAAAACAGTTATTTATAGTTGTATTTTTTAACCATCGTCAAGGCCGAGTTCTATTTTCCCTACAATCAAACACACGCTGTCGCCGGCAAAATTCTTTTTAAAAAAACAACAAAGTCCATAGCACGAAAAGCCGCTACATATGAAGTGGGCTTTCAATACTTTCATGATGCGCGGTTCTTATTTGCGGCATTGGTAGGGGACCCGAAATCCATTGTACATTTTTCAATGTTAATATGTGTTTGTGATAGTGGTTGAATTTGTATCCTGTACTATCTTGTATCGTACAAATAATTTTTAAAAAATAATATAATACTAGAAACTTCAGTTTTATATACGTTTACTTGTTTTTGATTTTACAAGAAATATAGTAAACTTTTAAGGCCTATACTTCAAATTATCTCCCCTGAGTAAGTTTTACAATGGGCGATGCTGGCGTACATAGATCAAGGCGTTTTGTTGTCCCTTTCAAGTTTTTTCCCGAGCCGACCCCTATCCCATCCATCTTTCTCAACCTCACAAGTATCGAGGAGATAAATGTATTGTTTATCAACTACTTCCTAACCGTACGATTCACCACTTCAGCACATTTTGTCAGACACTAGACAGCACTAGATCTAGTCAACACATATTAATTTACTTTCATAGTATTAGGCACATCTAATTCACAAAACAGGGCAGGTAAGATTATTTTTTATATAATTATTTAGAAATTAATTAGAACGTTTAGAATTAATTGAACATTATTAATAGTCATTGAGGTGGGGGTGTGTGAGGGTCTGGCTTTTTGTTAATCCCCCCCCCCCCTCCCCTAAATCAGAAGGTTTTCCAACGCGTGACCTGGCCACATACAGTTGTACATGTGAAAAACATTTTTCACTCTATTATTATTATGCATTACTGCATCATTCACCCAATCGCCATGAAAACTTCGGAAGCTGTTGAGTACAGCCCCGCAAAGGTTTCTGTCATAGGCCTAACATTTGTACATATTTGAGTGGGGACTCCTAACGGAAATATGTGATTTAGCGCCCCGTGATCCTGCATAAGCGGATGAGGTTACTACTTGAATACAACTGGCGTCAGTGTCATCCTGAGCGCATCACATATGAGCAAGTTGGCCTCCACAAACAGTCGTTTAAAAGTTCCCACAACACTAGGAATAAGTCTCGCTACTACACTCGATGACTAAATCTAATTAGGTCTCGCACCAATGTTTCTTCCAGGGTAGACTGTTTTCGGGGGAGGGGAGGGGGGGGAGCTCTGCCGGAAGAAACAATGTGTCACACCCATCACCCGTGCAGTAATGTAACCGGTAGCTCCAAGAGCCCCGTGACTCCCCTGACACCTGGGCCGTCGCCGAGGGATTTACAGCATGCCTTGGCGTGTCTAGTTGGTAGTGTGGACAAACCCGCGCCCTAAGATCCAAGAAATGAACTGCCGACATTGTTAACATTTAATTCAACTTCTGGAAAACAGGGCACACGGTTAGTAACGTTTTGATGAAAGCCTCAGTTTGGTGTGTTGGACTAGATTTAGAAAGGGGCCAGCTCGTGTGTTGGAAAACCTCTGATTTATTCGTGTACCAGATGGAATTTTTTTTAAATTGAGAGCGAACCTTGTTTTATATACATATATATATATATATATATATATATATATATATATATATATATATATATATATATATATATATATATATATATATATATATATATATATATATATATATATATATATATATATATATATATATATATATATATATATATATATATATATATATATAATATCTATCTATATCTATCTATATCTATATCTATATCTATCTAAATATATATATATATATATATATATATATATATATATATATATATATATATATATATATATATATATATATATATATATATATATATATATATATATAGGGGCCCAAAAAAATTCTTCGGGGGGGGGGGGCTTTTTTTCTAGTTCCGCCACTGATACACATGACCCGATCAGGCCAGAAATGAGTATCCTATGTTCGTATTGTGTGTTTATATATATATATATATATATATATATATATATATATATATATATATATATATATATATATATATATATATACATATATGGGGGGCCCGAAAAAAAAATTTTGCGGGGTGGCCCATTTTTTCTAGTTCCGCCACTGATACATGCCCCGCCTGTACAACGTCGATGGAGGAAACGACCGTGGGATAGGCGCATATAGAAACTGGTTCCATCTGTACAACCAATACTCACTGGGTACAAATTCCATTCAATATATCTTTTTTTTAAAAAACTTGCATGTTTTTAGGTTTAATTTTAACGCCAGACTTGAAGAGCGGGGAAGATGTGTGATAGCAAGCTGAGAGGAAAGGGAGAGGGGGGAGAGTTGTTGGAATGAGAAAATAATGTTTGCTCACTCACCTAAAAGTAGAAGTTTTATATCCTTGGCTGCTTGCATGCCATCTTCTTTTAAGTTTTTCTCGATGGCCTTGCTCCGCTCCATGGCGGCCCGTTCCTCGGCACTCAGAGTACAACCCATGGCTATGATGGCGAATGTTGCGACCGAGAGACCGGCACGACGCACCTGCCCGACTCCTTGTCTAGCCCTCCGCTAGCGCCGTGGTTACCACTACCACGCTAGCAGATCAAACTGTGAAAAAACAAACAACTGACCCCCGGGGCGATCGTTGACCCAAACTCAAAAATCCCGATCATAAAAAAAAAATATCCAAGAAGGACGAAAAACTGACCAAGCCACAATACACCGCACACAAGAAATACGGTCGCCGCCCCGAACAAGCTTCAGACCTGCTAAATATGTCGGTGTCTTGCTCTGCATAAAAAGCAAGCTCTCGGGCAGCGCGAGAACTCACGAGATGTCGCAGCGGTCTAAGCTTAGTAGAACTTCGCCAGCGTCTTCCAGCGGGAGCGGCCTCAACACATTGCGAGTAGTGCAACCACAGTATCCGCTTTTCGAATCACCCCAGTATAGTACACAGGAATAAAAACGAAAACTAGCTCAAATGATTTTTTAAAAAAACGATGCGAAATCCTTCTTAGAGCAACCCCCATCCCCGGTAGTTACTTCTTGAGTGTGTTGAGCTTTAGTGTAGAACAGGGGTCTCCAAACTTTTCAGTCCGAGGGCCGCATTAACTATGAAATATCAGTTCGGGGGCCAGAGTTTCTTTAAGGCATCTCTTCGGGGAGGGGGCGCGCCCTCCCGAAGAACGTCTACCCCCCCCCCACGAAATATAATTTATATAGAAATATTTGCAAATTTCAAGTGTCCACCCCCACCCCACCCCCACGGAGAAAAAAGTCTGGAAGAAACGCTTTCGGGGGTCGATAACACACTCGAGGTCCAAGTTTGCTCTCAAATTGTTCTGAAATTACAAGTTTGAATCTGAAGGCCTTTAGGTCAGGGGTCGGCAACCTTTTGAGACCAAAGAGCCAAAAGTGACAATTTTTTTTTAATTTCCCAGTTTTTTAAGAGCCGCCAACATTTTTGTTTCAATTTTATGATCTTTATTTTGGATTTGGTATATATATATATATATATATATATATATATATATATATATATATATATATATATATATATATATATATGTGTGTGTGTGTGTTACCGAGTGTATTCAGCTACCCGCAGGGGTATAATGGGCCACATGCTTGCAGCAGCAAAAGAGCATGTGACACCAAGCCAGAATGATAATGAAAGGTGTCTCATATCTGTTATTTTCAATTTTTTAGATTCTGATTTCAGTTTTCCCTTTTATATATTTTCTTCAAAAATAAAAAGACCTTTCCTACCGTTCATGTATGAATAATTTTCCTCGTTCCTCAATTTTCCAAATTCACTCACAAAACACAGTTTTTGAACAGGTTGACAATGGGTGCCGTTAACGGCTGGTCTAGTTGAGTTCGGCTACCGACAACGCCAAATGTTACCGAGTGTATTCAGCTACCCGCAGCGCCAAATGTTACCGAGTGTATGTACTCGCAGTGCCAAATGTTACCAGCTCTGCCGACAACGCCAAATGTTACCGAGTGTATTTACTGGTACTATCTTTAACTGGCACATAACATCGACCACAATACAGATACTCGGAAGTGCAGGTTTACATTTATCTCTTTATTAAATGTATTAAAAGAAATGCTCCACATAACAATGCATCAATGTTGCACAAGAATTCAATGAATCAACTGACCCCCACTGTCCTCACTAGTTCTCACACATCAGAATACACGAGTCCATAGTTCTGGCTTCCAAACCTATTCTAACATATCAAAACATGTCTCTACCGTTCAGTCTTCAACTCCAGTTCTGCGCCTTCTCGTCGTGCAGTCTTATTATATCGCCCCCTTACTACTCGTCGCCTTGTATTCGTAATCGGTTCTATCCATTGCATCATAGCTATGAACTCCGTACAGTCCTATTATCTCGCCTCCCACTACGCAGTTGTCTTGTACTCGTAATCGGTTCTGTCATAGCTATTAACTCCGCACTTCTGTTTCTATTTCTGTCACAACACCTGCCTCTGTTGCATCAGTTCAGTTTGGCCTTGGTCATGTCTTTAGTTGACAGACTGTATTGCGTTCTTATTAATCGGCTTTAGTAACTACACTAGTTACATCCACCCCCGCCTTTTTTGAGTGTTTTCAACCACAAACAATGTTTGGCAGGTGCACTTCACCAATGTCAAACGCAACACCATAAAAAAATTTACTGTTCTACTTCCTGTCAGTGTCATCATATTCCTACAAGATTGACAGTTATCCCTGTTTCAAAATACTAAATGTGTCTACATCATATTCCTCAGACACAAAGCAGTTCTAGAATTCACATCCACCCTCGCCGTTTTTTTTTCTTTGGTGTCATCACCAGTTTACTTCTATAGCTTTTGGTCAGTCCGTTCTCATACCAGCGCGACCATGAAAGAATTGATGGTTGCTGACGAAAAATTTCGTACTTTTTCTGTTCCTCAAACTTCTCCGCGGACCGCTTATCGGATGTTCTACTGTCTCTCTGCTTCTGGGAGGACCGAGATCCTCATTGTTGCAGTTGTCCTTCACTTGTGTATCGCTGTTGTGCTGTTGATGGTGACATGGTTCCGGGATGGGTATGTGAATTTCTGTGTAAGTTTCTGGTTCCCTAATTGTCTTAGTTTCCGTTGAGTGTAAATGCTCTTCTTGACTATTCCAATATTTCTTTAATTGAGCAATATTCGCCCAACGATCCGGTTTGGTGTGATTGGTGGGTCTTATTTTAAAGGGGCCACCGGCTACTTTAGGCATCTCCACGACTTGCCATACCTCCTGTCCCCAGAGGTCGTGGATTTTGTTTCTGCCTAGTGCGTGGCTACGCAGTAATAGTAATACTTTGTCGTTTAGTTGGAGTGGCGGGTCTTTTGTCAGTACCAGCGGTTCTCTTCGCCGTGCTTCATGTTCTAGTCTTTCTTGTACCACCCTGTACATTTCTCTAATTCGTCTCATATGTTCATTCACATATTCCAGTGCGGTGTATGAGCCAGTCATGCTTTCCTTTTTTCTTAGGAACAAGTCAAGAGGGAGTCGAGCCTCCCTTCCGAACAGTAACATGTGTGGCGAAAGGCCTGTTGTGGCATGGGGGGTGCAGTTGTATAGGTATACCAACTCTGGGAGAAAATCAGGCCAACGTTTTTTCTGTTCAGGTTCTAGAGTACGCAGCAAATCATGCATGCTGCGGTTAAACCGCTCGCACTGTCCGTTTCCTTTAGGATTATATGTGATTGTTCTAGATTTGTTGATCCCGTAGTGGCTGCACAGTTGGTTAATTACTTCTGACTCAAAGGCCCTTCCTTGGTCAGAGTGTAATTGTATTGGTATGCCATATTTGATGAACCAGTGTTCTATTAAGACCTTTGCCACTGTTTTGGCCGTCTGGTCTCGTGTGGGCACCACGACAGTCCATTTGGTGAATACGTCCGTCATCACCAACACATGTTCCGTCCCATCCGATGATTGCTCCAACGACGTAAAGTCCATAGCCACAATCTCTAGGGGTTTTGTCGCCAGTAGGTGTCCTGATGGCTGTCTCATTTTGACAACTGGCATTTTCGCATGCTGACACCTCACACAAGCCTTTTCATTATCCATTTTCATGGTTAGACTTTGAATTTCTTTATTAAGTCTACCAATTTCCTCCTTATCATCATTTTTCTCTACCAACAAATTGTTCTTTTGAAACTTTTCAACATCCAAGTTCATTTCACAGTTCATTTTTTCTATTATTAACAAGTCTTTTGAATTCTTAAGTTCTTCCACCAAGGCTATAGTATCTTTTAGCTTAGTTTCACAATTCTGAAGTTCAGAAAGCTTCAAATTTAATTTTTCTTGTGTAATTTGAAGTTCTTTTTCAATATCTGATAATTTCTCTTCAAGTCTTGTTTGAGACTCTTTCATTACTTGTTCCATTTTGTTTCTTAAGCCATAACCTCGCCCCTCTGTAGCCTGGACCTGCCTTACAGAGGGCGATCGTTTCCCCGGACAGTACCGTGCAATATGTCCGGGCTGTGAGCAGTACAGGCAGATTGGTTGACCGTCAGCTGTCCACTGGGGTGCTGGATTTGCAGGTCGCGGCCGTCCAACCTGTCTATGTCCTGTCCAGTTTTTGCCGTGGTTATCTGCTGTTGACCTAGTTTCTAACCTCTCCAACCGTTGGTCCACCTTAACCAGGTGAGGGAACAGTTGAGCCATCATGGTTTCCATCGTGCTGGTCCCTGTAGGTGGTGCTTGCTTTTGTTCAGGCACAGAGATTTTATCTACCGAACAGTTCGATTCGTCCTCATACTCTGACCTGCGGATCGCTGAGTTCCTGACCTGAAGGAAGGTCAACTGTGGGTCCTTGTACACCTCCTCTTTCAACTCTCTTCTTAACATAGGGGCTGCTAACCCTTCGACAAAAAGATCCCTCAGCAGTCGCGCATCTATGTCGGGTGTTTTGCCTTTTACAGCGTCAAAGGCCCTGTTCATTCGGTGTGAATATTCCATCACACTCTCCGCCAGTCTCTGTTTTAGACTTACGAACACCGACAATAGTTGGGACCCCGACCGTCTCTCACCAAAGGTCTCCACAATTAGATCTAGCACCTTATCTGGGTCTGTTTGGAGGGCTTTATCGTGGCATTTGACCTCTGCCCTAACCGTCTCCCTTATACTGCTCATCAACACCCTTAATCTTTCCTCTGGTGACATGTATCTCGAGGCCCAGGCAGCTTTCACCTCTTCATAGAATCTGTTAGCTAGGGTTGAATCACCGTCCCCATAAAATGTGTTTATGTGGGACTCTCTGGGCAGGACCACAATATGGATCGGCTTTTCGTCCAAATTAGACATTCTAATTTTTTTCTGTCCTGGTCCATCTGGAGGCAAAGGGTCCTCTTCACTGCCGCCTATCTCTGGGCTATCTTTATCTGGCTCAGATTGTTGGGCCCGCAGGAGTTTTTGTTTTTTGCTGATATTTAAAATACCACTCTTGCGTCTGTCATTCACATTAAGGAAAAATGTTGCAGCCATGCAGCAGATAGTGTTGCCCAAAAGGAAGATCATTACATATTTCCAGTGTCGAAGAGTTACATCTATATCTTGGCTGTCATCTTTGCCTAGTATTTGTCCAACAACCAAGTTGGAGATGCCAATGCCAATCATCTGGATGCTGGTGGTCAGGCCCATGGCTGTCCCCAGGGTAGTTGGTGCTACAACTAGGGGTATAATGGGCCACATGCTTGCAGCAGCAAAAGAGCATGTGACACCAAGCCAGAATGATAATGAAAGGTGTCTCATATCTGTTATTTTCAATTTTTTAGATTCTGATTTCAGTTTT